AAATAGGAACAAAAACTTAATACTAATTTTGAAGATAAAGAATGGAATACATTTTTTTCACTTATTTTTGAAACCACTTAAAACACGAATTTACAATGGTTTCGATACAGAATTGAACACAGAATACTTGGCACAAACAAACTTTTGTATAAGATACAATGCAAAGATAATCCAAACTGCAGTTTTTGCAACAAATTTTCTGAAAGCTTGGAACACCTTTTTTGGGACTGTGAAGTTGTTTTTGATATGATTCATGGTCTTTTTGAAAATACTCATTTACATTTGACAAGAATAGAATTTCTTTTAGGAATACAAAATGTTGATAATGAAACTAATCTTTTGCTTTTATTTGTCAAGAAGTATATATATTTTTGTAAAATGAATTTTAAAAGACCGACTATAGAGGCTGCTAAGCATTATATTAAGTACCAATACCAAATCGAGAGAGAAACACAAAAAATATTAACAAAGTAGATATTTTTGACAAACAGTGGGACAGTTTGAAATATATTTTCATTTCTTCATACCAAGATTAGTATGGGAGTGTGGACATTGTGTTATTGATTATGTGTTATTATTATTTTTAAACACAATATGACTAGAAACAGTTTTTATTCATTAGACTACAGGTTACAAAACTATATATTGAAAAGTTAAGTGAGATTATAAGTTAATCACAGGCTTCTATTTTTTAATGTACCTTGTTTGTTTGTTTTGTTTGTTTATATATATGTATGTCTTTGTATGTATGTATGTTTGTATGTATGTATTTATCTGTGTTCAAAATAAACGGGGTTATCTTTTGTGTGTAATAATTCCTTTATTCGCGTTATAACACCTTTGGTTTGGCGTAATTTCGCCTTTAATTACGTTACTACACCTTTTGATTTGGGTAATAACGTATTTATTCACGTTATTACGCCTTTTGATTCGCGTTATAATACTTATATTCACGTTACTTGCTTTTATTCGCGTTGCTTAGCTTTTTTGTCGCGTTATTACGTTATAACGGTTTTTGTTTCACGTTATTACGCCTTTTGATTCGCGTTATGACGCATTTTATATTTTATTCTATTTGATACCATTAAACTTTCGTAGGAATAGTGTAAAGCTTGTTGAAATATTGAATAAATCGTTCGTTATAAAACAAATGCTCACTTTTTTACCTTAACGAACAATATCAATACAAGGTAAAATGTGTGAAAAGTGTGTGATATTCTTGCTCTATATTTGTGAAAATTAACTAGATTTGAAAGACCTGAATTGTATGAGCGCTAAATTACTATTTTTAATCACAATTTCGCAATTATTAACTCTTTTATAAATAATGTAACGATTCTTTTTTGGGCAGGTGCATCACAAATGTGATGTTTTAATTCGAGACGTCTGAACAGACAGTGCTTTAATGAATATCAATGCATGTTAAGGTCCTTTATTCCGCAAACGTTTGTCGAGAGAATTACAATAAGCTTTGAGCTTCCAGTTCATTTTTCAAGTCAAATGTTTTATTTGCAAAAACAAATACATGCTCATCGCCAAGTTACCGTGGCGGTTATAACATATTTACATAACATAAGAAAAATATGGTAAGCAGTTAACAAAACTACAAATGTGCTACAAAAATACCAAAATCTCAATATGAGTCACTGAAGTAAATACAGAATATATTAATATAGAAATAAATACCTACATATATAAAATCAACTGTTTAAGCTTCTCTTATACGTTGCACAATAAATAAGTTTAGCTTAAGGTATTACGACCCTAATGGGCACTATAAGGAACTTAAAATTGACATCGTAGGTCAGATATATACCTTAAAGTAAAAGAAAAAAGAAGAAAAAAAGTTGACCCTTCTGGGGATTGAACCCACGGCCCTCATTTTCAATGTAGTTAACAGTTGTTCTAGCCTATTTGAATACTCTTCAAAACGAAGGTAATGCATACCTTAATTGACATTTTTTTGCGAAGATTGCATAATTGATATTTATTTATTCATGATAAGCCAAGCACAATAATACCGAGGAAAAACATTGACCTCTCAATTCACTATTGAATGAGACAAATAATAAGAAATACTATTAATTTTCTATTTCTATGCATATACGTAAATTCCTATCGAAATTTCTACATCTTCCTCCTTCTATTAACAATTTATGGGAACATCTAAAGCTTGATAATGCTTTACTTTGATTAATGTTATTTACAACATATTTTTACTTTTCTTGAATAAAGTTAAATTTGAATAAATTGTAACTACATAATTTAGGAAAACTACTAAGCTTAGAACACCATTGTTGTAATTATTAATCATAAATTCTTTGTATAATATTATTTAACTGGACTTTTTTAATATTGACATTCTTCCAAAAATTTCCAAAACCTAAATCAGACAACATTTTCATGACGTTTTTTTATCCATGAATTAGTCACATCACCATTTGGATCTTTATAATTTTTTTTTTTAAAAATCGAATGTCAGGGGCTTTCATAATTGTATACCAAAATTTAATAATTCGATTTTTGCGATACACTTTATCATGATTTTGTATAAATTTTGTGTTTTATATGCAATATTATAACTTGATAAAAAATTAAAACGTTTAGTTTACTTCTATCAAAGGATCGATCTGTTTTTATCAATACAATTCTGACTAGATTAGTTCTATAAAGTTAAATTATTTAAAAGATAATAATTCAAATGTCAGCATGCAATTGAGTTTATTTAGAGGTTGACTTTTTTACTTTAAAACGTTTCAATTTTACTTTTAAAAATATATTCAATTGTTAAATGTAATATTTGTAATGTAATTTAAATGTACTGTAAAAAAGGTAAAAAGAATGTACTGTAATCATTACCTTGCTTTTTAAAATTGTATTTTTACTCGCTGAATAGAAGCAGTCATATCCACTTTTAATATCGTTTTATTGCTTAAATTTGTATGAAATATATGTCTATACTTTTAAACTGTGATGCAACCAGTCCCTCAACTCAACACAGACTAAAAAACTAATGATTGCTTTTTAAAGGCAGTTTACAGGAATAAAAGCAAACCAGCTGTGATTGGATGGTTTCACTAGAAAAAAGGTAGCACAAGCAATCATTGCCAATAATTTATAATTAAATTAGTAAAATAGCTGAAAACTTTAATCTTATAAAAAGGGGGCGAGGTAGAAATGTAAAATACAGGGAAATGGGTGTAGGGCCAATGGATAGGGGGATGAGGTTGTCCGAATTGGAAATCCGGATTGAAGTAATAACCGTTGATGAAATATTATGAGTAGAGGACAGAGACGCGACAGGTGTCACACCATTAAAACAGAAAGCATGACATACATTAAAGGACCCAGAGGGGCACAGACTTGGAACGATCAGTTACTTTAGAAAAAGTACTACTACGGAGTTGATACCTGTTAAAATTTTACCGAACCTTACTTTTAGCCCAAACTATGGAAACATCAAACAGTATTTCTCATCATTATCATGTTGCAACTTTTGATAAACACAACAAAGGCATGTTTTTTATTTTTATGTTTAAAGATATGCTATATATTAAAACAAAAACTCTGTTCTACTTATGAGGAACTGTCTGAAAACGTTTATTGCATTCCTATATAGGGCAATGATCTTTTTCCTTATGCAGTTTGATTTAGCATAGTAACGGGCTGCGTTCTAAAATGGTGTTTACTTAGACGTGTGTATGAATATATATACTTCCTTAAGACATGTTGTAAATGTATTATATAAAACACGGAAGAAATTATGAAACGCAAATAAGTCTTGGAAAGTGAGCTTCAATTGAAATTTCAAAACGTGATCAGGTTTTAAGAGAAAATCATCAGAAGTATTTTGAAAGGTTAATGTTACACACAAAACGTTAAAAAAGTTCGAAGGTCGAAACCCGTGCGTAATTATTTTGCTCGTGATTATCTCAAAGGTGTCTGTAGAGTTATTGGCCAATGTAAGATGCAGGTAAAACAGGAAAAAAGAATTCCCATTGCCCTTGACCGTAGGGACCCCTTACTCCGTAGAAAATTAGAGGACCACTTAAGGTATCAACCTACCAAATATGAATGAAATCATGAAATAAATAAAGTAATTAGAATAAATTTAGATAAATACAACTTGCCGGAATAGGTTAACCTTAAATGGCCCTATTTTTAAAGTGATAAAAAGGAAAATAACTGGGACAAATGGATGGCACAGTTATATAACTTGGTAGTATCATGTACTTTGTATTGATAAGTAAGTGTGGTAAATATGAAGCTATTAGTATAGATAGAACTTAAGATATATCCAACTTGCCGTTTTAGGTTAACCAATTATTTATTTTCTAAGTGCTGAAAAGGGCAACAACTTAGAAAAATGGAAGCCATAGTTATGTAACTTGCCCAGATCATGTACATTGTATTGATAAGTAAGTGTGTGAAGTATGAAGCCATTGTAGACAATCCAACTTGCCATTTGACTTGTCGTACGGACGGACGGTTCCATAACTATATGCCTGGGGCATTAAAACGTGTACCCTTAACTGAAACAATAATCGGAGATAAGAGGTTATGAAGCATGAATATCACAGATAAAACGTCACAAGACGAATTAAGCACCTAAAGGTGAATACAAAATATTAAAGTCCTCTGATAGTCTGGCCCGAGGCGGTATTTATGTTTTATTTGGGTTATACGTCGGAAAGGTCATATGGCAACTTCCCAGCTTTACTGGTAGAGGAACACCTCAGATGTCGTTCTGATCATTATTTCAGGCACAAACGGGCATCTGAGTAGAACCACCACGGACGTTCGCTAAATTAGCTAAATAGCTTTCTCAAGTGGTCAATTAAAAAGTTCCGAACAATTCTGAAGCCATGGTAGTGATTGGTAAGTGGTTTTAAGTCAACGATCTTAGTTTCTCAGCCACACTTTAATTAGGAAAGTTGTAAAATATCTTGGAGAATAAATAACTAACACAAGCTTTTCAAAGATTATCTCAGTTTCAATTTTATTAGAAAAATACAGTTAAAACTATATAGCAGATCTTAAGCATACGGAAGATAAGCATGTTCAGAAAGTTGCTGAAATTATAATCATTTTTTTAAATACATGTATAAAGTCAAATTTCAACAAAGACTTTTCGTACGTTTCAAAATTTTATATCAAGGATGAATAAATTAGATAATATTCGAATTGTACAAAACAAGCTCGAATATACATGTATTTCATAAAAAAGAATGTAGGTAAATATCAGTATTAATTTTAAGCTGAATCTGTGTTCTGGATGATAAAGGGTTTACTTTAATCCAATCTCTCATAAATGTACTTTTTGACCTAATTGCTCATAAAAATATCAAACCATTAAAAGAGTGCCGAAAAAACAAGTATATGGTTCAGCTATTATATTGCAAAATGTTCCGTTTTAGAAAATTGTAACCGGACACGAAAAAATAAACAGTTTTATGAAAAGAAAAGAAAAAGTAGCATTTTTAGATCGAATTGACCTCTATGAAATATAAGAAGATTTATAAACCTAACAGAAATCTAACATTAACATGGAAATTTGTTTCACATTTATATTATATTGCTGCAGCAATTAATGGTAAACATTTTAATATTTAGCGTCATTACATATCAGGCATATCACTCAGTTAAATACAAACTAATAAAATGTTAAAATGCAATGATAATGTATAGATTTGTTCTGATTGGATATATTAAGTACTAATGGTTATTTTCTGATTAATCCATCTTATTTTCTTCTCATTAGATGTTGATGAAACAAAAACAATGAATCAATGTGCATGCAATCTAATCATTTTAGATTTATCCTTATCCAATAAATGATTATGTAAGGTGGTAGATTTCACCATGTTCTGTACTCTTACCGAATTTTTATAAACATATAATGAAAAAATTGGTTAATGATGAGTTGTTTTATTAGTCCCCTAATGTTTATAGTAGGACAAGAGAAATTGTCATTATAAGTGTAAAAGTAATTGTAATTTCAGTGCACGAGTAGCCGTTATTACAAGTACACTAGTACTTATAGCTGGAACTTTTGTAACTTTCATATACTGTCAAACACTTGACCACAGCAAAGAACAGCGAAATAACTCCAACGATCACACTGGCTACCATAAGCCTCCTAGCCATGTCAGACATTTTTCTTGCCCCTTCATAGTCACCATCTCTCGCCAAATTGTTTGCCTATAAAATACCATATAAGAAAACAAATATAACTTTCTGTAAAGTTCTGTAAAGTTCTATTAAGCTTGTCAAGCACTTTATAACATCTGGCTCTTAAAAAGGAATAAAGCTAATAACGTAAATAAATGCATTGAGCTAACTTGAAGGAATCTTACTAGAAGATCTTAAGTTACACCTGAAGGTAGCCTTATTTTATACATATATACCAAAAATGAAATCCTATAGAAGATCAAATGTAAGAACATCTCACTTAATTAAGTCACTGGCAGATCAAATGCCGTGCCAACTGACCTAATGCTTTTCATTTATAGCTAAACATGAAAAGCTATATTACACTTTAAGTTTTCTTTTATTAATGGCACTGAGAGATCTTCAAATATGCTTTTTAAAATGATGTCAGGCAGTAAACACGCTATTTATATTAAACTTACCTCGTATGCGTAATAGATGGCCAAAATTCCAGTAGGAAAAAAACAACAGAGGCAAGCACAAATAGATGGAACCATATAATCTGGGTGTCTCTGCTGGATAATTATTGTGCCAGTTTGTGGCTGATTTACAACCTAGAAAAAACAACATAAATTGGCATATTTATAACAGACATTCTTAAAAAAAAATATTGCATATTTTCTGTTATTTTTTTTATATTTTACGTCACATCGACAGTATAGGTCATATCGCAACGTTCCAGCTTTACTGGTGGAGGAAGAATTCAGGTGCCCTTCCGTGCTTTATTTCAGGCACGAACGGGCACCTGAGTAGAACCACCTACGTTCCGTAAGCTAGCTGGATAGCTTCCTCACATGAAAGAATCCAAAGTCCCTGTCGGGATTCGATCCCACAGCGGTGAGGTGCAAGTGGTTTGAAGTAAACGACCTTGACCACTTCTGTTATTGAACCATGTAGTTAATTAATATGTACTTTCTAAAAGTGTTACATTAAAGTCAGGAACAAGAACACCGCATGTGATATTAACTGTCGTCTGCTATCAATAACCTTGATTAAAAATAAATATTATAACTTTAAAAGGGGCATTACTTCTAAAGTATTATTGAGTAATGTTCCTTGTCTTACAACTGTGCATCATTTATCACAAGTTTCAAGCTGATAACTTCGATAGTTTTGAAAGCAAATCATTCTACTTATTATATACATTCTAAGTTAAAAAGAGGAATAACTGAAGAATTATATCCTTCAGAAAAATGTCCCTTATCTTACAACTGTGTCAACAAATAAATGTTCCAAGAATCATGTTAATATCTTTCTTACTTTTGATTCATTCTATTTAAGGTCCCGTCCCCTAATGGGCACTATAAGGAACTGTAAAACTGACACCGTAGGCCAGTTATATGCGCTACGAAACACCGGTATGCAAACATTTAAACAAAATAGTCCGTTCTGTTTACGATCTATGGAAATGTTTCTGAACTAAAGATTTACTATTAGAAAGGTTCTTTTTCAGAGATGAGAAACTCTAAATAATCTATAATATCATCATTATGCAAAATATTTTCCTAGTAATCTTTGTTAAAGAACAAATAGAAGCATTCAGGTAACAATTTAAACAAGCAAATTGAGAGTTTCTACTAAATCTACTCAAAGTGTTTGAAATATTATGTATAAAAATATTACACTACTCAACCCGTCTAGGCACATGTTTGATTATCTCCCTTCTTTAAGAGCTTTAAATATTCTAAAATGTCAAAATGAGGGACTGTTTTTATGTCTTTTAATTATATCAAAGTACTGTTACCGTGTGGGTTCGATTTTATTGCACTTTGAAATATCGAGTACTTTTGTATGCAGCATTGCTGCAATTGCAAATATTTACCACTGTTGTATTTGTGTTGTGTCCATATTGTGGTTGCATTGGGTATGGCTGCTGGCCATAACCTTGTTGCGGTGGAGGAATTCCTGGCTGGTAAGGGGGTGGAGCATCCACACCATACTTAGCATTCTTATCAGTGTAACCGTCTCCGGGTTGGTCGTATCCTACGAAGAAAAACACAAATTAATCAACGAACTGAAAATGCAAAATTAATATGAACTTTGATTTTTTCTTGAAAATAAAGAAGTCCTAGTAAAATCTTAAACTGAAAATTATAAGATGAAATAGGGAAATTTTATACAAATATGGGTGCTTGTGCTATGCACCTTACCACTGTATGGTTTGGATAATTGTAAGAAACATGTATGCAAAAAATAAAGTGTTTATCTCATTCAGTAAATTGGTTACAGTTACAATTGTTCTACTGAAGAGTAGAGAAGGTAGAATGATACTGCTAAATTGATTGGCAGGTTTACTTGCACATGGAACTGAACAAATACTGCAGGTTTAATGTGAATACTTGTGACTACTAACTTTTTGAGAAAAGTCAAAGACAATGGTTAAGTAAAAATGGGAAATGATAAGGCAATATGACTTTCAGGATGACCTGCCCCTTATACACAAAGACTTGTGTTGCAAAGCTGATGATAAACAAGTCCTCCAATGTCTTTTTAAGTCTTTGAGAAACGTATCTTTCAAAAATATATATGTAAATTAAGTGGTTCAAAGTCAGAAAAACGACGCAGAACTAAATTATAAGTTTTCCTGCCTTGAAATACATTCAAATTTATTTGAAATCCATCAAGTATGTACATTTTATGTGAATTGCTTTGATGAGTGGAACTTAGCAAAACTAATTAAGTCTAGAACGGGACATAACTTTACCAAATGAAAGTAAGCTGCCCTTCTGAATTGATGTCATGGTTTGATAGCAAACATGCATGCCATGTTTAATGTAAACAATGGAGTTTGTGTCAGAGACATTGACCTGTACAAATATGTAAAGAAGGGCAATAATCCATTTCTTTAAGAAAGTGCATCTCCTTGCTCAAAAGAAATATCTTTAAATGTTTATCTTTTCTTTTGAAATGACATTTTTCAATGATAATGAACATGAATAACGAGTTTGAAGACAATAGCTTTTATAGCTTTTATTATTGCCAATAAAGAAATTGTTACTCAACTAGTGTTAAGAAATTAAAACATGTGAATAAGACATTTAAAAACACAATAACAATTTGTTAAGTTTACCATACTTTATATCGAGATATTTATAGAAAGAATCTTATAATTGATAAGGTGTCTCAAGGAAACAGACAAAGTTAACCGGACCAAGGAATCGTGTTATCAATACGATACTTAAATGCTCTGAGAAAATCAGACAAAGGAGTGTTGCATTTGCATACAGAAAGTAATCTTCCACAGTAGCTGTCACAATCGACCCTCTTAAAACTTTATATCATCTGCACATGCAATAACATTAAAAATCACGACAGTAAACGTACATTCTTTCATTTAAAGTAGATACATACATGCATATTTTTAATATCTCCAGTTTTCTTATTTAAACATCCATGAGTATAAGATATTCATTTATCTACAAATACAGGATTTATTTTCATTGAGTGATAATAAAATGCATATTTACGGATGGCGGTAGCGCCACTAGTAAAATATTAAACTATTTTCATATAGTTTTATAGAAAAAACTTGAATTTTATGTTAATTTCATTATTTCCCTCTTTAACAACCTTGCGATTGAAAAGACTTCCCCTTTTATTCTCTGCATTGACTGAATTTAGAAAAAAGAAGTCCGACACCACGCCAGAGAAAACACGGATAATATGTTTTGCTGCACTCGAAAATTGAATTTAACAGTGCATTTGGTTTCATCAGTTTAAATATTTCCCGATATTTCATTTATAATTATATAATAAATAGTTTATAATTATCTTGAAATAATGTCATTGAATTTGCCTTAAGGTTACACTCTTACCACACTTACTTTTTTAAATGGGTTTGTCAATCTTTTACTCTGAATGGATAAAAGTGCAAACTATTAACAAAAGTAAGAATGTGTCGGCTTTCATCACTTGAGTAGATTCAATAACACAGTAGTAATTATTTAAAATACACACAGACGATATTCATAGCATGATATCTATCATTATTAACCGCTGTTTGAGTTTTAAAACTTCATTAATACTCAGTTACAAACAAGAGCCCGGTCTGAGCCAGGTGATGCTCCCCGAATATGTACAGGAAAGTACACCTCTTGCAGTTCCAGAGTTATTTCCATTGACAAAGTTCAAAGTGCAATAATTCTAGAAGTAGGCAAGGCAAAGGAACTGTCCTTTGCACGGGAATTCTATGAATATGATCTATCTACCTAGAAAGTTTCTTGTTGATAACTGTTAAGGTTTCCGAGTCATGTCCCTGACAAAGTTTAAAGTGCAAAAATGAAGGGCAATTTCTCCAAAATAAGGCAAGGCAGAGTAATGTTTCTTATGCACTGCACATGTACCTATTGAGATATTTCTACCTACATAGTTTAATGTTTAAATCTTTTATAATCATAGAGTAATGTCTCGGACAAAATTGTTCTAAAAGGGGAGATAATTCAATTGCAGGGCTGTCCAGAGTTTTGATCATTTTGCAATGTACATCTACCCAATGAGATATATCGGCCTGCAACGTTTCATGTTGATATCTCTAATGATGTTAAAGTAATATTCCGGACAAAGTTCAAAGTGTAAAAATAATTAAAGGGCAATTACTCTAAAATTTGGCAAAGCAAAGATACGGTTCTTATGCACTGTACAATCAAGGCAGAGTAAGGTGTCTTGTACTCTGCACATCTACCTATTGTAATCTATCTACCTACAAAGTTTCATGTTGATATCTCTTATAATTATCGAGTTATATCTCGGATAAGATTTTTCTAAAAGGGGTGATAATTCAAAAACGGGGCTGAGTAGAGTTATTCACTTTTGAAGTGAACTTCTACTCAATGAGATCTATTTACCAAATAAAATTCAGGTTGATATCTCTTATAATATTTGGGTAATGTTCTGGACAAAGTTCAAAGTGCAAAAATGAACAAAGGTTAATAACTCCAAAATTAGTCATGACAGAGTTACGGCTCGTGTGCACTGCACAGCTACCCATTGAG